GCAACACGAAGTTTAGAAGATGCCAGAATCCCACTGTGATTGGTTGATGGGATGCAGAAGAGTGTGCAGTCACATGCACATGTGACATGGCCTGAAATACCGACGTGTTCCCTGCATTGCACTTTGTCCATTCAGATATGGAGGTTTCCCGTGACGTCAGGAAATGCAGCGACTTTAAATGGGCCAGTGCCCCTCAGCCGCCACCATTGTCCTTCCTTTCGAGCTGTCGGGAAAGCGAGGCCCACATGGCTGAGCCTGGCTGTGAGACCTCTTCTTAGGAAAGCCTGGGCACAGACGGAGGATCCCACGGGAGCCGACCTGAAGAGCCCGAAGCAGAAGCAGCCAACGCGCCAGTGCTGCTGCCGCTGCTGCCACCACCGCCCTCTCACCAACACTGCCCCCCACCCCCGCTACAGTTTCACCACCTACTTCCCCAGGGTTCTGAGGCATGTTCACAAGGGCCTGAGCCCCTCGCAGAAGACCGTGAGCGTCATGGATTCATTCGTCAAGGACATCTTCGAGCACATCGCCGACGAGGCCTCTCGCCTGGCCCGCTCCACCAACCACTCCACCATCACCTCCAGGGAGATCCAGACAGCCGTGCGCCTGCTGCTGCCCGGGGAGATTGGCAAGCACGCCGTGTCCGAGGCCACCAAGGCCATCATCAGGTACACCTTCTGCCAGTGAGCTGCCTCCGGACCGCCTGACCACCTCGCAAACCAAAGGTTCTTTCAGAGCCACCCCACTTGGCACAAAAAGACCTGTAACTCTCCAGAGACCTACTTACTCTAGCGTTTGGACCTGTGCCATTCTGCCAATTTTTATCTCATTTGTACCATGAACAAAATATTATGAAACATCACAGCTCAATGTTAATATATGTCTGTAGTGCAATTTGTTCCAAGGAAAATCAGAATTTTCCTTAACCATAATGATATTCATGGCTTTCCTAAATGGTCATTTCTGTTAATTATTTCTCCAAGTCAACCTTATGGGGATATTTTCTTAATGGTCTTTACCCTTTTGCTTTCATTCTCTCACTAGTGCATGGTGGAATTTTCGAGAAGGTCATTATGTCTGATATGGCAACAGATAAAATGCAGAAGTAGACGTAAAAATACATCTGAGTTCTTTAGGCTAGATATAAAGGAGATTTTAGGATATCTGAAATGATGTCTGTCTCCTCTCTACTTTTTAAGAAAACATATTTTTCACATGCATTTGTAATTTATATCATCATGATGTCATGGGTTTTTAAAAATTATTTTAAAATAAATTGACTAAAATTTCTATTCTAAAGTTTTGTTAAAGTAAACACTGTCAGATACAACTGGCACAAAAGTTCTTTGGCTTCCTATTAATTTTGAGACATGTAAAGTTGTCCTGAGACCAGAAATGGTTCTAGAGATTTACTCATTCTGGTGCAATGAGGTCAACTGAAAATAGCTTCTTTTCGGTGGTCAACTTTCAAAAACAATTCAATGCCTAATATCCACCAAAACTTCCAAATCATATTGCTAACTTAAACGTACTTTATAGAATCTTCAGTTGACTTTGGCTCCTTGGACTAATGCAAAATGGAGGGCATTAGTAATCTTAGTTTATCTGGAGACTTCTGTGGAATTAAATCTCACAAGTACACCCAACAAAAAGGGGGGCGGGGTGAGGGACTTTCCAATCATGATGTTGACAGAAACTTTCTTGTCACCTTCCTGACTGAAATAGGAATGATAGTAGCGTTTCATCTACAAACATGATATTGGGTTTCACTTGAGGTCTATGTGTTCACAATAACATCTTTGGTTTTCTAAGTGTTTTAGGTAACAGAATGGATCTAAAACATTCGCTCGTGCTGTTTTACCACCTATCGAGATTAACATCTTTTTATATCGTTTGGCTTATTCCCATAAATCATAGTACAGGTTTTCCAATAGTAAATCCTGCTAGCATTCTTGGAAGGAAATCCCTTCCTCCTGGATGACTTTTTCTCGACATTATTTGGGTCCTTTCCTGTGCTTGTTCCTGTGTGTAGTCAGCAACAGACTATAGAGCTCGGATGTCTCATGACTTCTGCACCCTTGGCCACTTGCTTTTCTCAACTGTCCCCAAGGTCTTACTGTGTCCTGGGGGCTTCAATTTGCCAGAAGCAGCCTGGAGCCAAGGCTGAGTTGGACTCCCTCTGCAGCAAGAACGTGGACTGTGATAGAAGGAAAACCGGGGGCTAGTGGAGTGGGCTTGACCCCTTAGTCTTTCCTTCACCTGTTTATGTCTGGGTGTCCAACTCTCCATGCTCCTCATATATGAGGCACAGCTGTGCTTGAGAGAGCCAGCTGTGCTCAGCCCTTCCTGCCCCCAACTAGGGCAAGTTCTCCATTCTAGGCCTTCCCCTACCTCTGTTCCTTGACCCTCCAGCCCCAAGAAGCCGGATTGTACTCGGAATCCCTGAAAGCCACATTCTTAGTTTGTTTATCCCTTATTTCCTCCTCAAAGAGAGGCTGGGCTACTCCACCCAGGTTGGACCCCACCCTCACCCAGCAGATCATTGTCCAGCACATGTGTCAGGGTTGACAAGGGACCTGAGGTGTGAGGTAGGGTGACCGTATAATTTCATGTCCAATTAATGCAGATGGTTTTGAGAGTAAAAGGGGTGCTCTACATAATTGTGCTGGGACAGCAGGGAAAATCAGGACACGAGGACCCCCTTCTAGGGTAGAGTTCTGGAGACAGAATAAGGGCATCTCTTGTGGCTTAGGGATTTGCAGAGCACAAAGTTTAGTAGGAAGATGAGAGTGCATCAACTTTTCCATAATCTGATCTCTTTGAAGTTCTGGTGCCTTTGTTTTCTGGGGAAAAGTAGTGTGTTACGAGGCTGCATTGACAGGGAAAGGAGACACAACATGGTCAGCACAGCTGTTTGAATCCTACAGCTTGCTGGGAACTGGTGGGACTAGGCTCTACAGCAAGAGTGATTAAGGGCACAGGTTCTGGAGTCAGATTAGACCTGGGTTCCAACCCCAGCTGTGCCTCTTACTAGCTGAGGTGTCTTGAGTAAGTGACTTGACCTCTTTGAACCTCAGTTTCCTCCTCTGGACAATAGGTCCACAAGATTGTTGAGAGGATTCAGTGGGATAATGCAGACAGAGTGCTCAGTGAATGGTGGCTCTACTTATCCTCAGTCTTGAGAGGCATGGCTCAGGCAGTTGGAGGGTTGGTGGGGGGGATGTGATTTGATGCCAGACAGCTGTATGGACTTGCTCTCCTGGCTACCTTGGTCCCATCTGTTTGCTTAAGGCTGATGGTGAGATAAGGGAGGACGACTTTTTCTTTCCTGAGCCTCTGTTAGTAAAGTTGCAGAGATAATGCTGCTCTGAGTTGCAAGGGGAAGTTGCTAGGGAGCAATTGGAAAGTGCCTTGTTACCTTGCTAGCTTTGGGCATTGCTGACTCAGGGTTTTGTTGGCAAGCTCTTCCTCCTCACTCCCACTCACCTTCTCCCACTCACCCTCTCCCTATCCAAGAGCCATTCACCTTGCAAGTCTTGGCTCAGATCCCACCTCCTCTGTGAAGACGACCTGACCATCCCAGCCTACAGTGACTTCTCCCTCCCTGAGCCTCAGTACCTCCAACTGCAAGAACGGGTGTTTCCTTTTAATGCCCCTCCGGAAGGGCCATGATTAGGGTTGAATGAGGGAACAGATGTAGCATGCCAGGTGCAGTGTCTGGTACAGGCCTGTGGTGAGTTCCCTGGTCCTTCTCTTCATACTCACTGAACCCCCCACAATGTGTGCATCCTGGTCTTGATCAGATGCAGCTTTCTATTGGTAGTCATTTGGGAGTATGCCTGTGCTAGCTCTCTGTTCAGTCGTAATGTCTCAGAAGTTAGGGGGCCGCATCCTACCCTTCCTCACCTTCCAGGATCCAGCACTACACAAATCTCCATAATAACCATTTTTTTAAAATTGAGCTCTGGAAGACTCTATGCGGCAGGCGCTCTCCTGTGTCTGTTTTACACACAGGTCCAGTCTTTACCCTTTGCCCCCATATTTTCCTTACAGGACAGGCAGGCATAATTCCTGGGTTATCCACTACCCCAGCTCGCCTACCTAACGAATGGCCTAGCCAGGAATCAAATCCAGTTTTGACTCCTGTGCTAGATTGTTTCCAGTGAATGCCTGTGAATGGGGGATGGGAGGATGGAGAGAAGCAGAGACCAGAATAGGAGTGCCTGCACCTTTACTTTTCCTTAGTAGAGGGAGGCTTGCTTGAGAAAAGCCTATACGTAGTAAAGATATAGGATTCAGAGGTTCGCCAAGCCCAGGTAAGGTCCCTCTTGGACAGGAAAAAGAGGGCGGGGAGTGATGGGTCAAGCTGAGGCACAGGAAATTCCACAGTGGCTCCAAAATCCCAAAAATTAGCAGTGGAGGAGGTGAATAAGCAGGTGTCAAGTGAGCCTCCTTTGAAGAGGCTTATTAAACCCAGAAAGTTTTGAATTGCCTTGGAGTCACGGGTGATCATTTCACTCCAATAGAATACTGATCATGGGACCTATGATTAGGTGTGGAGATAAGCTCTGCTGCACTCTGGCATCAGGGGAGATGATGCAGAAA